TGTAAACCAGTTTTGGCACTACCTTTCTCTCAACACATCATCTCCATACATGTACCACAATTTTTTTCTTGCTTGAACGGCATTTTGATTTTTTGGTAATAAAAAAGCAAAATATGCCGAAAATGATGCTTTCGATCTTCCACATTTGATGGAACACAAAAAATAAACAATTGCACAGAATCAAACAAAGTTTTTTACAAATAAGCCTTAAAATGCTAGCTGTCAAAATATATAATGATAANAGTTGTTACAAGACAAACCAACTTTTCCAATGGTAACTCATACTTCTTCAAAACTTCCATAAGTGCATCAAAAATATCGGCTCCAGTGGTTGTATTATACATAGGAATGATTTCCAAAAGTTCTTCACTTATTTTTAAATTAACATGGCATCCGCGAATAAAAACGGCCAGCTGAGCGATATTTCGAATATCTGTACTTTCATCAATTGCAATAGAGTAGGCTTGAAATGTTAATATTGTTGAATTATGCTGATTTCTCAAATTCTCGGCTATTTCATCAACTCTGCTAGCTACAGTATTTCGACTTAAAGTTACACTTTTAAATTTTTTTATTTGTGATGGACATAATACTTCCGCCGCTTCAATTAAGCATTCACTAATAAATTCCACTTCAGTAAATAGTTTTCGATCTGCTTGCGATTAAATGTGATAATATATAACTAACTTTCACAGCAGCTGTATTGTCTTCAACAGATTTCGTGAATACACTTTGTTGTTTTTAAAGAATTGATTTCAATTCCGACAATTTGTCTTCACGAAGTATTGCAACGTATTGGTCACAGTTTCTTTTATGATTTCTGTCATAGTGCCTTTTAAGATTATATTCCTTAGGAACTGAAATAGAGTTTTTACATATCAAGCATAATATTTTATTTTTGTCTTGGACACGAAAGTTTCCATTTTTCTTGAAAATCATGATGTTCTTCTTCAATTGATCTTTTCTTACTCGTTGTTCTTGAAGTTTGATTACATTTTTATTAAATAAGTTTCTGGTTTAATTTGAATAAAAACCAAAATCCACTTTAGAGTTCAAAATATCATTCGCAAATGATTGAACACCGCACTTTGTAATGACTTGTACAAATGTGATGTTCGTAGCGATATGATGATACTCTGCAAACAAAATAACACAAAAATTACGAGTTGCAGATTTCTTTTTTAACAAGTAATTTATTCTCGGCTTAAACCAGTTCTTTATCAGTTGATCTCAACTTACAAAGCAAAACTGGAATATTATACAACGGGCGTTGGACCCCTTTTTCTGAGCAATCAATTCCACGCGACGCGACAAATATCCGCGAGTTGACTTATAACTATAACTTATAACTAAAGAAAAAGAAGAAGAAAAAATAAGTATCTAAGAATAGTAAGAAGGAGAAGGAAATACCCAGGATTTTCGGCTTCGTGGTCTTGAATGGGTCACCGTCTCATTCTTTTCTTTGAACAGTTCTTTCTCTGTTCCTTTCTTCTCTACACCTCAAACTTGGTGTCCTATCAATATCTTCATTTCTAAGTTCTTTTATAGAACTTATTGAAATATGAGCGGCTCCACGTAGTCCCCAGCCTCTCTCTTCAGACCTGGGGCCATATTCTGGTCACTGTCTCTGGTTTGTCGTCTCTCGCAATCCGGTCGCTAATTGGCTAATCATTTGGATTAGCCAATCAGCAACCAGGTTGCGAGAGACGAGAGACCAGAGACAGTGACCAGAATATGGCCCCTGAAGCAATACCTTTGTACAGTACGTTTTCTCTCTCTGGAATTCGAGACAAAAGTGTCTCACCCCTGGTTCCCGTGAACCCAGGGCCTCTGCTCTCCTTTGTTTCCCCAGTCCACTTCTCAGAAACGGTGACCTCACCCAAGGGAAAAAGGGTTGGAAATGAAATTTTTAGAACAGTTAGAACAAAGAACAAAGAAAGATTCCTAAGCCTAACATAATATAATAAAATATGTACAAGTATACAAATATCAGTATGGCTGACGGCCACACAAAGACGTGTCGTGCGTCGGATTAGATCGCTCTGCCATCTATCATGTCTCTAATCGTCTTGTGTTTTTATCTCCATTCGGCTTCGCCCGCCGCTTTTCATTTGCCGCCTCACGTCAGCGCGCAGCGTCCCAAGTGATCACGCAACCACATGTGGCGCCAGCATCAACCAAACAGTTCAAAATTTCCAACTTCAAACATCAAAGCTTGATATTTAAAAATTTTTTTAAAGTCTCGGAGGGCCGCAACCTATGTATTGGTGGGCCGCATGCAGCCGCGTGTTTGACATGCCTGCCATACAGCAAGCCATTTATATATCACTGAGATTAAATTTGTCAAATTGAACTGTTTATGATTTCTTGAAACAAATTGGTTTCGTTTCAAAGCTTGATATATGGCTTCCACTTGTTCTTAAAGAGATGCTCTCTTTGGTGGGATTTTAAGGAATTTTTTTTTTTTTGAGCTTTTACTAGACAATTTAACAATTGAATCGAAAGTGTACTGCCATCGAGTAAACAAATTGAGTAATATCATCAAACAGAAAAGGCAGCCAGAATTGATCAACAAAACAAGTGTAGTATTTCACCACAATAATGTCAAATTTCACACAAGTTTGGTAACTGGTCAGAAACTGTTATAACTTAGATGGGACATGCTATCACACCAACCATATTTGCCAGATTGAGTGCACACAGATTATTACTTGTTCCAGTCTATACAAATTTTTTTTAACTGTAAGACATTTACTTGAAATGACAATGTCAAAAATCACTTGGATCGATTTTTTTTTTGTAAGCAACGATCAAAACTTTTATGAATGTGAAATCATGCTACTACCAGAAATGATGGCAACAAGTATTTGACCAAAATGGTTAATATATAATTCAATAAAATATTTATTTATTATAAAAATATTGTTTTTTCCACGGGAAAAACGAACTTACTTTCCGAACAACCCAATATATTAAATTCTTATAAACTGATAATGGTTAATTATTTTTTGTTGAAAATTTCATTTTAAAACTAAACATAGATTTTGATCTTAATCTATAGATATTTAAAAATGATTGGTTTTTCTTTTAAAACAAATATTTATAAAACAATAATTTTACTGTTTACTTTAAACAGTAAAGTAAACAGTTTATTGTTTTCTTTACTGTTTTCTTTACTGTGATGGATATAGTATACAGCCTTTACCATAAAATGATATACAAGTGCAAGAATGCTGCTAACAATTGCTCTGCACCACAAAATACAAATATTTCTAATTAAAAAATTCATCAAACAAATTTTAAGACCATATATATTATGAGGTGGTATCCAAAATATTCTGGGCTGAAGCTGTTATGTCTAAACCAGTTGTAGTTCTGCAGTGCCCCCCTAGATGATAGTACTAGCTCATGTGAATTAGCATACCAACTGACTCAGCTATATGGAAGTAGCTAGTAGTGGTAATCATTTGATGTCATGCACATTGTCTAGCAATTTTTAAGATAGATGTGAAAATTTTAGAACTTGATTTTTGACTGTTGAACATCTTACACATCAATTCTTTGATGTTTTCTATTCTTATCCATTCAAATACTGGCATTTATTGCACTTTGAACAGGTACTGACGCATCCAAGAAATTACATATCGTGTATGTTTGAATGAACATGTATGCTTGCAATTACAGCTATTACCAGTCAAAATCAGTAGTACTGTTTATTTTTGACTAATATAAATATACTTAATACTTTCTATACATGATATACATTTATCTTGATGAAAAAACTATTACTTCAATATAAGCTTTAGCCATAGGCTATCATATACGAGGGGGCTTCAAAAAGTTTGCAAAAAAAGGATAGTATGAAAAAACGATTTCAATTATGATGCTTATTTTTCAATATATGCTCCATTAAGGTCGATGCACTTCTGAAAATGTTGATACCAGTTGTGAGTAGAACTGATGGTCTTATGATCTGAACCATGTCAGAGCAGCTCTTTTTACATCTTCAACTGGCAAAAAATTTGTACCTTTTAGCGACTTATCCATTTGTAGGTTGTTGACTTCTTTGGAGCATTATCACTACAGACTTGTTCCAGAGCAGCAATGATTTGCCTATTCTCCCAACCAAGTTTCACCATGAACTTTGTTCTGGTTTCGATTTTGATGGTTTCCGTGTTGCTTGAATGGTGCCTGACTTTCAACCAGTGGCGGTGCATTCTTAGCTGCATTTAAGAGTTCATGTTTGAACATGTTATAACACGGTACAAGAATGTTCAGGTACATTGAAATCAAAATCCTTTTAACAATTTTTAGTTATGGACTTTTTCCACAAACTTTTTGAAGCTGCCACATACTATATCCACATTTTAGTTATAGCCTACTTATAGCTTACTATATTTGGGATTGATTTATGTGGTGGATAAAGATATAAACAAGAGTTTTGAACTGTAGACTGTAAGGTTGACTTATAGGCTGGCATATACAGTAAATTTTTCTATTTGTTTGTTTTTAAATATACTAAAATTTTCAAATAAATGATAAACTGTTTTTATTTTCTTTAATCATTTGGAATGTAGTTATGAAGATATAATTGAATCAAATACACTAAAGAAATTAATTAAATATTCTACAAAGATTTTAATAATAATAATAATGTTTATTGATTTAAATTTAAATTTCTTACAAAGAGATTTTAAAATCGTTGGATATTCAAAATAAAAAATGATTTTAACTATCCAATAAATGTTAGAAAAATTTTTTAATTGATATGGGAATTGGTTTTATTACGTTGTTAACATTGATCAATTTTAAAAAATGAATAATTTTCTGTTAATTTGAGATTTATTAGTCAATTTTTTGATAAGATTCATCTAATTATTAAACTAATTATTTAATTACTAGTTAAAGATATATCTATTAATGTTTTCTTAGCAATTCTAAATTTAAAGATCAGTAAATGAACCAAATTATAATTAGCATTATTTTGAATTTTCTTGCAGATGGAGTTACCAGAGTTCTTATCCACAAACGACAGATCCAAATGCAGATCCAAATGCTGCTTGGCCAATAGCTCCTGGTTATGAAAATCAGATGAATATGTAAAATTCATCTTTAAAATAAGTAAGTAAAGAAAATATCAGTTGATAAGTAGTGTTTAAAAGATATAGAATTAAGAAGTTTGATCTAAATTTGTGTTTAAAAATAATTATTTTACATGTAAACGATAAAAATTAAATAAGTCTATTACATATGAAATTTTTATTTTATTTAAAGATATTTCAGAAATCTTTTCAGATTATAAGTATTATTAAAGTTTATTAATAATTTTAATTTTATAATCTAATATGTAATTTTTATATAAATATCAGTTTTGATTACTTTTAAAGTTTTTATCATAATTTGTTTATAAAAAATGTTTTTGTAGGTTGCAAGTTGGTTGGTCATATTTTAAACTTAAGCCAGAAAAATTTTAATACAGTCCTAATATTAAATATTTAATTTATAGTCATATTGTAAGATTTTTGATTTCATTATCCTTTTAGTACAATCTACACAGAGCATTCAGATATAAAAGTTTATTATAAATAATTATGTAAGCTACATTATTACAATAAAGAAAACATGGATACTTTATAAAAATGCAGTTGCAAAAAATTATACATGAGGATCACTAAATCATATAAATTGTGATGTCAACTGTTAATTTCCATCTTATAAACATTTGCAATTAAACCCATATTCATGATATAAAAAGTGAATATGTATAAGCTATATAAATTTTCCAGGTATTTAAATTTTTACTTTAGAGAAAGATGTAACTGGCAAGTGTTTCTTTCAGTTTTCTTCCTCTTAAGGTGATAACATGATCTCTCCATTATCAATATTAGTTTATTTGGACTGTCAAACTCCAATAAATAAACTTAAATTGCAATATTTATGGTGTAAAAAGTTAATAGCTAAAAGAAGAAAAGTAATATTCTTTTGAGTTAAAGTTAACCAGTTCTAATTCAGCTGCATAATTGTAACTCAATACTACTTGCTGAAAATTAATGGTGTTGAGAAGTTTTTTAATTTTCAGTATAATAATAATTAATAATCAATAGAAAGTCGTTATTAGGTAACCTGAATTGATTGGACTCTATAGTATTTAACTAGTTGTTTACTGATGGAATATAAATTTCAAAAATCACTTTTTTCTTTGAATTAAAAAAATTGATCTGTATAGTTTACCATTAGTTTTTCTTGCTATAACATGAATAAGTCTTCCATTAGAACTGGGAAAAGAAATAATTGTTTAATGTTCTCTCTTTAGTTTTTTCAAATAATATAAGCTGTGTGAATTTCTGTGTTGCTCAGCTATAAGTAATTTTAAAATATGAAAATTTTGAATTCCATTGTCTGTAATCTTAAAACTTGTTTCTAGTTTCAGTATGTTTGTTTATATACAAGGTTACTTAATTTTCAAGATTTTCAAAAACTTCTGAGGAAAAAATTTTTTCTGATTAAGGAAAAAAAAAAAAGGAATCTGTACAACTTGTTATAGATTTGTGGTAATCATTTATAATTTTATATATGTAAATGAGAGAAACATCACATCGATCAAATGGACCTCTTACTGTATGAACATAAATTGAGTTCTTTAAATGACAGTGCAGCATGTGTATTTGAAGATGGCAAATGATTAAATTTAACTCACTGCTAGTGTCACTGAATCTGATTAAGTCAGAAAACCATGCTTCTCAAACTACTGACATATTAAACACTGAACTACTGAATTCTACTCACATTGGCAAGTATTCTGGTTTGCATGTATTTTTCTCTCAAGTGGTGTACTTAATACAGTGGAATAAATTTAGCTCTGTATACTTAGTAATATTTTAGTTAGTTGGTTATAAGTATGGTAAAAACATACATAAAACTTTTGAGTTATTATAGGCAATCTTCTGGGACTATTGGTGTGGAAAATAAATTTATGCCACTACCTGCTGACATGCACCCTACTTTTTTAAACTTTTTCTGCCCTATGGGCATTTAGGAGTGCCCTCTTTTGCAGGCCCATGATGGGTTCAGACAGGCACACAATGGGGCAACTGGCTGGTGAGGGATGGGCCCAACATATCCGAACAGACCCTGAAAAATTCATGGGGATTTCTCAACATGTCCGGATTTGATCTCGGGTCCCCCAGCAGTAGGCTGCCACCTTGATTGCTCGGCCATCTGGCCGTCATGCACCCCACATTAAATGAGATCATAGTATTTAATTTAGTTGAGAGAATAGAGTTTGTTATAAATTCTGTGTTAAAATACTCTTATTAAATGCTGACTTGGGAATATGTAATCAATCTTTCTGTTGATTTGCAATCTCAAAAAAAAACATTGTTAAAATAATTTTGTTGTGCTGATCTTAATTTACAAGCTTGTTTTACAAAATTCATATTTAATTTTTTTCAATCAATTTTAATTTAAATAATATATTGATACAACTTTGTTTTGACAGTTGTGTTAAGTAAATATAAGAACATAAATGAATACTGTAGATTAAATTTTATAAGGAATAGCAACTAAATTTTTGGCTACATCAGTGAAAAATCATTTATGTATTACAACTCTGTTAGCCATTGGCTCAACACTATTCACCTATACAAACTGAAATTTAAGGACTCCCTATTACATGAAAACCAACATTGAAATATTTGATGTCACTTAACAGTATCATTGATATGTACAAAATCTCTCACACACAAGAAATATTCAAATTTTGGAGGAAAAAATCAGTCATAGGATAAGTCATTTGCCACTTTTTTAAAATATCATCAAACATAAGCATAGCTAAATAATGTATTATCATGCAGTGTTATCTAAAAGAGTTGCTTTATAGAATTTTGGAAGCATTATTGTTGACACATTTCATGCATAGACTGCAAGGGCTAAAATTGAGAAAATGAATATTAAATTGATGGATAATTCCCTAAATACCCAACATCATACTAGGTAACATTTTTCTATTTATTGAGAAAACATTTCAAGAATATGGATTTACTTATTTTATGACTTACATATATTCATGAATATTTATGGCTTATGTATATTCATGAATATTTTTACTGACAACTGGGTGGTTTGAAGCCATTGTCTCATGCTGTTGCTCTGAGGACTGGGATTGAATCCTGACAAGCAAGCAACTTCAGGAATTTTCGTGGGTTCTTGGAGTTGTTTGTCCTGAATCTGTTGGATATGTCCATCACCACTTTGCTACAAAATTGTGGGCCTGGCTGAACCCATAATTGGTAGAATTTAAAAAGATGCACTTTAAATATACCAGTGTTTATGCATGCATGCATACACACAATTTATTTTCATTTCTGACGCTCTTCTTGTGGGTAACTAAAGTGTGATTTGTAATAATCATCACAGAACAAATAAAGAATATGTATATCAGAATGTATAACATCCTAAAGTAGACTTGGGTCAAAATTTTCAAAGGTTAATGTCAAGATAGGGATAAATGTTTCACTAGAATACATAAGTATTGATATAGTGCAGTGTTTTTCAACTGGGGGTCGCGAATCCTTACACGGGGGTCGTGGGTAAAGTAAAAAGACAAGTGTTTGTAGGTCCTACACTACATTAAAAAAAAACTACAATTTCAGCGAGAATTACGGCCCACTCCAGAAAATGATAGCTGAAAAAGTGTTGAGCTGATTTGCAAAAAGAAATAAAAAGTAGAAGCTGAAAATTCTAATCCTAAAAAAAAAGATCAACAGCTCCCTGTGCCCAACATTATAATTAAAGGAAGTTTCATACTTTGTGTGTGTTAAGTTATTGTCGATTCTTCTGAAATTTTCATTTTAATCAACAGTTTGTCTCAACAGAAAGAAAATTAAATACATAGTTTTTAAAATCACTGATATAGTTTTAATATGGCCCTAGAGGGGGTCGCCAGAATTTTTTAACTTGTAAAGGGGTCGCGTATTCAAGAAGGTTGAAAAACACTGATATAGTGAATGATTCCAGTATAGTATTTTCAAAAGGACGGAGCTAAGAATCTATTGTATTTTGAAATTAGTGGCGAGTTTTATTTTAAATAAGTACTTAATTCACTTGAGATGCAATCGTGTTACTTCAGAATATCCATTGTTTGAAGATTGAGTTGAGCATATGAGCACGATTTGGAATTTTTAAATACAGTACTGTACAGTACATATAAATTGGGCCGACCTTCGTTAGGATGTATTTAAACAAAAATATGTAATATATTCGATGTAAATGTTTATTATCGGGAATTTCACAACTGACGAATATTACGAAATTTCTCAATATACTCGGAGTATTTAAATTTCGTAATCATCAACAGAATTATAAACAGAAATAATTCATTGATAAGAGAAATTAAATTTTGAAGTCTTCATTTCTTAAAATGTTTTAGTTATAACATCCTAGACTATTATATTGTATAATTTTTTCCCAGGAATTAGTTAATTCGCTGTAGGTAAGTATGAAGTGATAGAAGTGGAAATCTAAAAATTGATTTTTTTATTAGATAGGTTTTGAATACACAAAAGGTAAGATCTTGATATAATTGTATTTTGCAAGCTATAAAATTGGTTGACACAATTTCAGGAAGCTGGAAATGATTTCTTCTTATAATAATAATTTGTACAATTAAATTTGTTATAATAAAATTATATTTTATGAAATATATCTACTTATTATAAATTGAATTTTCTGATTATTGATGATTGAGAAGACAAAACCGCTTCAAATCGATTTTGAAACAAATCGCCACCGAATACATTATTTTTGGCGTATTTCCGTAATCGATACTTTACGTGTAATTTAAGAACGTTTCATTAGTTAATGAGCTGTTTTGTCCTCCATTTATAGATTGGCAGTAATACGAAACGCTGAATCTACGAGTTGGATGAAGCATTATGTAGTCGTTATAATTATTGGGAAGCAAAAGTTTGTCGTGAAAGTAATTACCGAAATCTTTCGAAGAGCCGTTAGAATCCGAACTCTCGTAATACATGTTTAGAACGAGCGTGTCTAACCGCCTTAGATGAGTAACCGAACTTTTGTCTCCCAATTCAGAAAATGACCTATTTTAGTGATGTAGTTCCACAATACGTGACTCCATAACGTATCTAATTATATCAATCGTTCCTTGATCCGTTCTCGTTCCTATAGCGACGACCGTGCACCGCCTCTTCGTTTCCCACGTCCGAAGGTTTTCCGTCGCGACTGAAGATATTACCCGTACGAACAAACCGAAGAATTTCGTCTCCGAATAAGTAACCGTCTCCGCAGACTTCTACCGTTTGATGAAAAACAGTTATTTAAAAAAATAACAATAATAATTAAATAATTAACGAAACGTAAATCTGGACTTTTTAACTTTTCGAACCGAAAAATTGCGACTAAATCATCGGTGTTCGTCGTTGTCGTCATTATTCATCTTTTCATATAAACATTGAAGTATTCGTGTAGTCGTCTCTGTAATTTCAGCGAAGTGTGCTGCTAATTCGGGTAACACACCGAATAGTGTAGTCGTACGAGCCGATGTTATGTTTTCAAGTCACTTATTTCTAAAAAGAAACCACTTCGGACGATGAACCGATATTCATGTATATCGTCTAATATCTAGGTAAGTTTGTGTATTTTTTGGATGCAACCGAGTGCGATTGCGTCATAACTCATTTTAAAAATGTGATTGTATGTCGTCAGTTAAAACCCGTTTGCCTTTGTATAATGCTTCTCGTTCGAACGTTATGTTGGGATATGGTAGTATAGGTTGTTTTAATGCGACTATTATCTTTTAACAGATTTCAATAAAAGATCATGAAAAAGGAAATGCTCTATTACGTTGTAATTATTTTTCGACCAGAACACTAACATAGAAAAATTTACTGATAGTTTAAAATGAGTTATAGCCTAAAATACTTCAAAACCAAACTACATTATTCTTAATATCAATAATTAAAATGATAAGATTCGTAATAAGTAAATAGTACGAACATATTTATTTAACAATCTTTTTCCGTAAAAACGCTACCAGTCACACTTAAAACAGTGATTCCCAAACTTTTTTAAGCCCCTTCGTTCCATAAAGTTATACCCACCGCTCCCTAACCCATTTTCCTTTGTGTGAGAATTTCTTTTGGAAATATTCTTAGAAAAACTTCTATGAACCTCACACTTTTGTGTCCTTACTGTATAGTACATTGCATTAAATGCTTTTCAGATATGCAGAACAATGTTTCTTACCCATTTTAATAAAGAAGGTTGTCAGTGATTCCCCAAATCCTAATCTGTAGTCACCGTTCGGTCAGTACCATGCTGCCCACTTCTCTAAATTTACTCACCGTCCACTTTGGGAACTGCTGACTTAAAATAACTATCGTTTATTCGCGCATTTGTATCCTTGTTAGTATTAAGCATAGAAATAAGAAGTGTCCTTTAATCCTTATCATTATTCAGTTTATTACAGAATTATAAAATTTGACATTAAATTTTAAAAAACAATAAATATATATACTTATTTTTTACATATTAATCTAACCCACCGTGTCGAGTACCATGGGATCATTTGATCCCAGACAGTTTCAAAGTGATAAACATGGAAATAATTATTTTCCAGGTTTATCACTATGGGGAGGTTACATTGCTTAACTGGTTTTAGGATAGTTTTATACCTTTCGGGTCATACAGATGCCATGCTACCTTCTGTGTTACATATATAAATTGGATTTTATGATGTTGGAATAAAACTAGTAGGAGTAGGTATTAATAGTACTTTCACTTTTGGACTAATTGTGTTTTTATCTGCTATAGCTAATTTCTTACTATTGTATAATCCTTTTCACTTGAATGAATTAATATACAGTATTATCAAACATTCAGATAGGCATCACTCAATATCTTACAGTGAAATTAAAACGGATGATTATCTGTGCTAAGTTTGTAATCGCAATAAAATCACCTGTAAGGGCGGTGAAAGTAAATTTTTTTCTCTGAAATGTTTCAGTAATTAAATAACGTAAAAATTTCGAATTCCAAAATTACAACCAATTTTGTATTTAATAACTAACAATAATGAATTAACAAATAGATTTTATAATTAAGTTATAGCTGCTAATAAATGAACTAAAGTGAATAGTGTAAACGGTAAATTATGTGAAAATATAAATTAATAGCTATTTGCATGGTATCAAGATACTAAAAATACCTTTTTTTTGGTATCTGATATGGGTTAAAATTGACGGTAAACAAGATTATTCGGGATGTGAGTAATGTTTTTTAACTGTAAGATCAACTGATCTGAGATTTACAAAACCAGACCATATAGTCAATAAAAATTATTTGTTTTTATAATTAAATCGTTCAAGAAATGGTTATACATTAGCGAGGTCGCGGCCGAAGTTTTCATCTCAAACGTGAACGTCGGACGTTCAGCGCCGCCATCTTGTAAGCCTAGAAGTTTGACAATGGGATTTGGAACGTCGAGCATGATTCCACTGACGTTCCAAACTTCTAGGCCAGGGGTCGGAATTAGCGGCTCTTTGCATAGACGTTTGCGGCTCTTCGGACATAAACTGCAATTTCACCTCACCTCATTTCACCACAGCCTTATAACTTATGAGTTTGAGTCGTACGCCGTCCGCACATGACCACACTCGCGTTGATCAATGTGTGTCGCATAAGAATGGTAGCATTTGAAGCATATCTATATATACACATTGAACGCGTGTCCGTCCATCCGTGTAAGGTTATGCCAAAAACGTCCACTAGAGGCGCCCCTATCGTGTGTCGTATTTCGCACGTTTAAATTAATATGCGGCTCTCTGGTACTTTTGTTATCGTTTTCATGACTTTGCCTTTTCTCACTTGACAAACTGCCGACCCCTGTTCTAGGCTTACAGGATGGCGACGCTGAACGTTCACGTTTTTGCGTTGAAAACTTCGGCCGCAACCTCGCTATTAAAATGACTGACAGCGAGGCAAAATAAAGAATTTATTCATTTTTCAATCTAGTAAGTGTAGGCGTATAATATAAAGTTTCAATTTACACTTTCTATTGGGACATATAATGCAAGTTTAAATACATGTAGCCCTCGGTTTACGCCGATTCACAATAACGCCGCTGCGTAATTCGTCGTTTCGAGGTGTAATTCCCCGATTTTCCTTATGCTAGACCAGGGGTCGGCAACCTTTTGAGTCGGAAGAGCCAAAAATTACAATTTACAAAATTTTTAAAGAGCCACAAAATTTTTTCTTGCCAACAATAAATAGTACTCGCATAAGTAAAGTTTTTTGATAAAAAAAAAAAACTAATCTGTTTATTCAGAATTGTCTTGCGTCGAAAGCGAATTAAACCTCACAGAAACATCCGACGACGGCGTCATTCGAGAGCTTCCGACGGACAGACGACAGTGACGACGCGTGTCACGGGAGAGGGGTGCGATGAAAAGCGAGTACAAGTGGCTGAGAGATAGAATCGGTGCCGAATCCTCGTTAATCGATTCAGAACGATTTTTAAATGTTTTTTTTTTTTATAAAATAAATAATATTTGCGTATGGAACTAAAGAGCTTGCAGCTTCACATCCAAAGAGCCGCAGGTTGCCGACCCCTG